GTGTGCTCTTCCGATCTCCCCAAAACCCCAAAACCCCATTAGTAGAAAGTAAAGAAGTTAATCATATTTATTGAAATATACGAAGAAAGAAAAAAGTTATCGTCATATTATCATTCCAAAGTAGTATTGATTTTATCATTAATTTTTATTTTAATATTTTTCAATTAATTAAGTTAATTTTTTTTAGCTATCTCATTTAAAATTATATAATGTCACAACCTGCTTTTAATACTTTCAAACCCTCTAATAATCTTAGAAATCTCAGCAATTCCATGTTGATGACACAGAACGTATTTAGTTTTTCTGGAAAAACTTCGCCTATATCGATTTCTAAGTTAGCTTAGACTGAAGAAAAAAGAAAAGAATCAAATAACAATGATTTAGATTTAGTTAGAGATGTTGATCTGGACATTTTATATAAAAAATAGTAATAAAAAGCGAGTGCCTTACATTGAAAATCACTAACTATGTCAAAAGAAATTCTTAAGATTAATAAATAATCATTATCAAGGTCAAAGGCTGACAATAATCTAATGCCTAATTTAGTTTTATAAGCAGTGGGTTCAGAGACCTAAGCGACAAGTAGAGATGAAAGAGCACCAATTCAACTTTAAAGAAGGGCGACTCAAAAGAGTAGTCTTAAAGATTTCGGTTTGAAAAGAAAAACTACGATTAGGTTTAAAGATGAAGAATGCTTAATCGGATTAATGGATGAAGATGAAATGTAATAACTTAAGCTTAATAATCCTTAGAAAGAACTATTGAAGTAAATTTAGAGCAAGTCTTATTTTTCAAACAAAAATAAATTAGGTGCTTAACTCTTTGATCAAGGCAAAAGTTCTTTGATTTTGGCAAACTTAACATTCTCTGTTGATCATCACAATCCGTTTTTCAACAGAAAACTAAAAAATGAAAAACTCATTAATCTTGATAAGCGCCAACTTCTTAAGCTTGGATAAGTTACTCAAGAGGAAATAGATGAAGACGACAGAAAAGCTAAAATGCAGATTCAGTAACCTTCTAGCTTAAAAGATAGCTTAGCGAAGGCAAAAGAATACTTTTAGAAAAAGCTTAAGGAAGCCTTGGAAGAATAAAAAAAAGATTAGCAAAAAGATCTGCTAATTAATTACGTTTTTAATAAGGAGAAAGAAAAAAAAGAAGAGGAGGAGAAATTAAAGGAATTAGAATAATAAGAGGTGTAAAATCCTGTAGATGAAGACATACCTGATAAATGGACTTGGTAAAAAAGACTTAGGCAAACAATTCAATCTAAAAGCAACATTGTCAAGGCATTCACTGATTTGCAGATTAGTGATTCCTAAGATTTATAGGATAAAAGTATAAATAGATTAGATATACCTTAAAATAAAAGTGCAAGCGTGTCTCCATCAAAAAGCTCCAAGAAGATAATAACATTTACTGGAAAGGCTGAGGAAACTAACAGATCAAAATCATCTGCCTAGAAAGATTTAGAGCAAAACTCTCAAGTGCTAGGTAGATTCAAAAACTACAAATCTAGAATAGAAAATTTCATTCAAAATATGTAGACAGATCTCACTTTTGAAGAGATCTAAAAAATAGATAGAGATAATTAGAAGCAGCAAAAGAAACTGGAAGATATCAGGAATGCATAAGATCTAGCTAGGAAAGCTGAATTAATAAGAAATAAGGTAGATCCATCCTTATTTTAAATGCCTTTTCTTCATAAAAAAGATGTGAAAAGTTTCTACAAAAAGTTTAGACTAAACGAAGGTAGTATATCCCCTTTCTTCTAAGAAAAAGAAGCAGACAATTTTGATTATGAAAAAGCGATCGATAAGTTAAAAGAAGCAAGGATGAAACATTAAAATTTTATGAAAAGGCAATTGCAAAAAAAATAGTAAGCCAAGAGAAAGAAAGAGCGTGAAAAGAGACATCAAGAATAAAAGAAGCTGGCTTTTGGAGATGATGTGTCCAGTTTAATGGAAAGTTTTGACAGTTTAGAACTGAATGATTGCGTGGATAGAAATGACCAAAGTTTCTTTGACAGAGATAAGAACATTAAAACTACCATGTCTAAAACTAATCGAGTTGATCCAGTGAGAGAGCTACTAAAGAGTAATTAATCAGCTTTATATGATAAGTATGGATTCAACGATATTGAAGAGGAGTTGCCCAGATCTCATTGTAGGGAATTAGAAAGTGACGACGACTATAGTGATTTCCAAGCTTCCTAATCATCTTCTGGTCCTTAGAGAAGCGTGTCCACAAAACAAAGTTTTTATAGAAATACACATACTAGAGCTTCAGGAATGCTTATGTCTGATTCAAGTACAAATAAAATAAAGAGTCTATAAAGGAGACCTACTCTAATGGGGCGATTTTTTCAATCTCCCTCAAATTTTCTATAGAATTCAGATTAAAAGCCAAATATGGTTAGAGATAAATTAGCCTAATTTTATAAGAAAGTCAATAAATAGTCATAGCTGGCAAAATTGTCCAAAGACCATCTTTTAATGAATAGGATTGATAGGTCTTTGAAGTAATAGAAGAAGATAGAGGACATGCTTTAGGATTACTTGTATGTTTATCGCTATAATAAGCAAGAAAATGACGAGCTATAGTAAATATTAAAGGAAAGTAAGGCTGCTGTTGAGGAGATTAAGAAAGATTTGATTGATAATGAGCACAAGATTGATTATGATATAACCGCGAAACATGAGAAAGACTTCATGGAAAAAATAAAGATTTGGCATTAGAATGAAATGAGAAAGAAGGACTTTGATGAGTAGAGGATGGACTAATAGGCTATGAAATACTAAAAGCTTAGAAGGATTTAGTTTTCGGGAATCAATTCTAGGGATTTGTGATTTCAATTTCATTATAGGGATATTTAAGAGATACTAAAAAATGAATCCATTTATAATGCAGCTATTCATTTTAAATATCACAGTTTTATTACCAAATTGATCGAGATTATTGATGACGGGGTTTTGGGGTTTTGGGGTTTTGGGG